TGTCAAGACTCAAGCACTGCCTTACTATTACGTGATTGGTTGATATGCGCCGTTCGATTATCGCAATGTGTAATTGGTTGATCCCGTAGGAAATCTTGACTTCCCCATCAGAAATATGTGTCAGAAGATTTGATTGGCTGATGCGAGAAGGATCAACAGATTTGTGCTGCAGGTTGGACCAATAGCACAGTGATTGCCTTGAATATGGCTGCTTCAGGATCGTGCTCAATGTCAAAATAACAACAGATATGTTACCAGCATGGTAGTAATGCCTGACTTTGTGAGGCCCAAAAATACTCTTTCTATTTTTTTTCCCAAACAGATTGCAGAGAGGGATGGAGCACTTCAGAAGCTGAACAACGAGAACGCCAAACTCAAGACAAGGAGCCAAGAAAAAACAGCAGAGGTGTGTTCAGGTGTAAACTTTTTCAGCTTATGCCAAGACTCAAGAAATTTTTCTTTGCTTTTGAGTATTCTGTGTCGATACAGTGAACATACCGAGTACCAGAACGTACCCAGTTTGTGATAAAATAGCTTGCCCAAGGACACACCTGCCAGCATGTTGGGGCTGTGGTTCAACCCTCGGAGCCATGTTAACTCGTTAACCTTGCTGAAGCTGTCATCAGAGGAGAGATTGGGAATTTGTCAGAAATTGGTAGAGTTGAGTCAGGAATAACGTGCTGGAAATCAAGCGTGCATGCATGTGTTGCTTACGCCGATCAAAGTGGAAACCTTGTTTTCACACTGATCACTCGTGTTGTTATTTTTGACCTTTTGGGATTAGTGACACACCAGTGTGGAATAAAAAGCACAGATTACCAAGCTTTCCATAGGCTGGTGTACAGACATTGGATGCATGCATCGTCTGAGTCACGCAGATAAAATTGCATAATCTGACTGTAGTATGCCCCATATTACCATTGGCCTCTATCTGCCTTCCTTTGCTGCTTGTAGATCCAGAGGCAGACCAACATGATGAAGCGGCTAGAGGACTCCATCACCAAGGCCCAGCTGGACATGGAGGAATTGAGACGCAAGCACCAAGATGAGGTAGGTTTTTTACCCAAAACCGGGTTTTTCATTATCAACAGCAAATTTGAGAAAATTTATGTGGTATTGGAGAAGTTCGAGTGGACCTTGTGCCAATTTTGGGTATTAAAACCAGTAATGTATCCAAGAGGGGGATCTGCCAAAGCTGAGGTTCTGTTGCTTTTTGTGGTTTTGTTTTATTAAGAGCCCAAAGTGCAAACATACTAATGATACCGAAATGAGACTGCCACATTCCGGGGGGATGTCCTTTATAAAAGAAACAAATTTGGAGTTTCACAATAGTGCACCACCAAGAGTTTGCAACGCATTGGCCATTCACAGTGCCCAAAATTTGTCAACCCAATGCGCGTTTGGAAAGGGTCGACAAATTTCGCGTGTTATGATTGGCCAACTTGTTGCAAACTCTTGGTGGTGCACTATTGTGAATTGCGCGTATTGTTTGGGGAAAAAAAATTCATTGGATTGGATAAACCACTGCTTAAAAATGTTTGAACGAGACTGGGCACATGCTATTTTACCTGGGTATTTTGTATCTCAGTACCTGCCACTGCCATGGGTCTAGTAGCCCTGGGGTTGAAGATTGAAGACAGTACTGGTCTTCAGCTAAAGGTCAAAGCACACCCACGTGACACAGTCTTGTCTTACAGATAAAGCTATCCGAAATCCGACGGCTTCATAGTCTGCTTGCTTTGTCCTTAGCACCATATTTTATAGTCATCGTGTGCGACTTACTACTTGGATCTAGGCCTTATCCCTCATGTGTGTTGACTTTGAAATAAGAGGTCACATGACTATGTTTGCCCAATCTGAATTGATCAATGGTATGAATATTCGTGATGAATTTTTCTAATATTTTTTTTCTTGCATTCAACTCTGGATCCGATCTGTTTCCCTCCTGAACACGGAATTTGGTTGGACAAATTCTTCTGCATAATTATATCATGCTCACCCGGATTCACTTGTGCTCATAATGGTGCATTATTGTTGTCATGTGACTAAATTCTCCTTTTGTGCCATGAACATGTATACAAACAATACCTTGCATGGCATGCGTGTTGCTATTGGTCCAATCCGTGCCTCGGTTTAACTGTTTGTCTCTGAAGCCTCAAGTCCTAATGCGAACACTGCTCCTCCGCACCCTGACGGCGGTCCGCTGTCAGATCCTCCTAGCAACAGGATTCTTAAAGTTACTGGAGGAGAGATATTTCACTCCCTGACAGGTTGCCCCAGGCAACAACGTCTAAACACAGTATTCAAAAATGTTTATGCAACCAATAGAGCTTAGGTTGTTTTTCAGACTTCGAAGAGATAAAAATGAGCTAATATGAGAAATGCACATAAAGATGACTACCTTCTGAAAGGCCAAAAAGAACAAAATTAACCCAGGTATTTAGCTGACATAGTTTCATTTCCTGTAATATGTTGAAGTGGGTAAGGTAACAAAAACAACAGTTTATAGAAGACGCTAGTACGTCTGAAATACGAGACTTTACCGCCGTGGTTCACACTAATACATGTTACATGCGTACGTGACATGCCTCTTTGACCAATAATGGCCCAATTTCGTAGCACTGCTTAACAGCCTTTTTTTTTGGTACCTGAACCTTTATCAATTTCACACAGACCAGGGCTGGGGCCAATTTCACAGTGTTGCTTCAGCGAAAAATTTGCTTGTGTGAAAAAACCTTGCTTGACCAATCAGGTTACCAGCCAAAACTTCTTGTAATGTATATTGTTTTGGAATGGTATGTACTTGTCTTTTGGTTTAGCATGACAATCACATAGAGTTTGAGCTGGTAACTTGTGTTTATTAAGCAAGGTCTTTTCGTGCTTAAGCAAATTCTGTGCTTGAAATTGGCCCTAGCTACAGTTGGTGCAGCGCACGCACGCTTAACCCCTGAGGAAATTTAACGATAGAAAATCTGCATGTTGGCACATACAACTGTGACCACATCGACACCTTGAAACAGGGCAGTGCCATGAAACTGGGCCAAATGTTTGCAACTTGCCAAGATGCAAACCTTGCACGGTTTAAGAATGCATGTTAACCACTTCCTGCCGGGGACTCCGGGATCGGAGACGTATGATTTATATGGGTGGCTGGGGTCTCCGAACTCGGACAAAGGAAACTGGGCCCTGTAACAAAAGACCGTACTCCAAACAAAAGACCAGGCTGCTGGGCATTACCGACATTTTTCACTCTCAAAAGTGGTGATAATCCAGCCTTGTTTTGAAACCGTATACTAGGGTTTGGGGCATTGAGAGCGAGC